GGGGTGGGCTGGCCGCGAACCCGGGCGGTGGGTTCCGGGCTCTTCTGTCTCGTACTTGCTTGGTGTCTGTGCAAGGGGCCCTCGCGGCGTGCGGGGTGGCGCCTGCTTCCTGCCTTGGTTACCAAAGAAACCTCTGGCACAGCGTGCGGCCGGCCAGGACTCCGGCGTCCTCAGCCACGGGCCATGGTGACTTTGGGGGTCCCGGCATTCTGTGCTCTTCTCGTGTGCTTCCCGAGGCCCGGGAGTGCGTGCGTGTGTGTGCGTGTGCGCGTGTGTATACTTGAAGAGGAGCGCGGTGTCTGATTTGCACTATTGGAGCACGGAGACTGCCCGAAGCTGCCGCAGGATGCTGGCACCGAGGGCAAGTGCTGGGACTGCAGGACGGCTGTTCTGACCCTCCGTGTTGGGACGCGGGGAGGTCAGAGGTGCTTGGGGTTGCTGCCCAGGCTGCGGTCTTCTCTGGAGCCGGGGCTGCATCACCCTCTGGGGTCACTGCAGCTGGCGGCCAGACCGAGGTCGAGGACTCCGCAGTGCTTCAAAGAGGACGCGTGTTTTAATGGAGAAGAAAATAGCTGGTTTCTATTAATTGTACAGACAGTAAGCAAACCTGAGTACTTCTGGCTTCTTTTCAGAACTAGTTTGTTTTGTCAGTCCCAGTCCTAGATCTACTTACTGCTGGTACAGTTGTACTCCGAGATGTGTGTGTGATGGAGCGTGGGCGGCGGGCGGTGGCGGGAGCAGGCTTGGGCTGCAGGTGGCCAGCGCCGCTGCCTGGTGACGCACCCCGGGGAGCCGGACGGTGTCTCCCAGCTCCCGGGGCGCAGCCTGCTCCCTCGGCTGACCGCAGATCACTGACAATCTGCGCCACGGCGTTCTGTGTGCTTCCTGGTGCGTGGGGCCAAGGCCGTGTACATTCCTGACTTCAGTTACGACTGCATTTATCGTCTGCCATAGTCACAGCTACTAACTAGACATTAGCAGCATCCAAAATAGACAGGGCTGTGGGTGCCTCCCAGCTGCTCCTCCTCGACCTCAGTGAGCGTTTCTGTCCCCGCCCCAGGGTCTGCAGCCTGTGAGGCGTTAGGGGCTTCTCCCTCAGAAGCCCTGAGCCGGGTTGCAGGAGGACACACGCCCAGGCCCACTGTCGGTCTGGGCTGTGGGCACGGGTGGGGGTGGGGGTCGGGGCCTGCCTCTGGTCGCGCCGGTCAGGCTGCCAGCCCTCTTGGAGTGGAAGCCCCTCTCCAGCCTCCCAGTCACTCCCACTGTACTGGGCTTCCAAGCTTTGGCATTCAGGCCCCTATATTTTCTGTAGGAAAAAAATCGTTGAGAACACTTTTTTTATATAGGTAACTTTAAGACCATCGTTACGCTGTGCGTAAAGAATGTACAGAGAAATTTGTAGGTATTTTTTGAAGAACAATTAATTTGTTAATGATATGTAGCTATTTAATTTTTCCCTTTCCTGTTGTAATCATTCATTTTTGTTGTTTGGAAAAAAAAAAGTTGATCTTTTTTTGGTCATGGGTGTGTCCGTAAACGTGCAGGAACACAGGTACTCTGAGACCACCATCCGCATTCATAGCCATAGTAACGTTTGTTACTGCTACAGGCTACTGAGCGCGGGCCGGAGCCGCCGCTGCTGCGGACCCTCAGCTGGTGAGCGGGCGCCTCGTGGGGACGGCGGTGCTGGTGGCCGGGTCCCCACGCCAACCTATCTGGGATAGGCCGTCCCCCAGAGCCGGGCCCCGTCGGCGCGTTCTGACTCCTCTGATGTGTGTAAATCTGTAAGATACCATTCTCTGTGGCCTGTTTTTCCTGGAAGAAGAAGAAAAAAAGGTTTGGCAGGCCATCTTTTTTTTTGTACTTAAAAGTAGCCTTAAGAACAATAATAAAGTGCTCTTAAACCACCGGCAGGCTGTGTGTTTGGCCCTGAGTCACCGAGTGAGCGGGAAGGGTGATTTCAGTCCCCACTGTCTGCCTCGACTGTGACTGTGGGAAGGGCTGAGGCGTGGAACGGCTGCCTCTGGCCCTGCCCGGGATTAGCACCCACACCCCTTCTGGAGCAGGACAGTCCCTCCGGGTCAGGCGAGAGGTGTGGGAGCCACCTGGGTGGCCCTGTCCTCCCCACCCCACTGGGGCCAGGCTGACGGGGGTGCACACAGGCCCCACCCACAGGTGAGGAGAGGAACCCGAGGACGGACCCCCGTGACAACAGAAATGACTGCACATGGGGGCCGTGCGCCGAAGCCAAGGTTATTATTGAGCTCGGGCTGGGGAGGGTGGCGCATCAGGAGGATGCAGGCCTGGGGTGGGGGACACGCGGGCCTGGAATCACCCATCCTGGGCGGCGTCCTGCCCCAGTGCTGCTCAGCGGTGGTCTCAGAGGGTCTCATCGTCGCTCATGTCCCAGATCTGCGTGGAGAGAGAGAGACCCTCAGCCCAGCTGCTGGCTGGTCCCGGGGACACCGCAGCGCTGAGCCCCACCTGCGGGGTAGGGGCCTTGCACACCGTGCCTGGCGCGGCAGGGGTGTGGGGCTCTGCCCACTCGTGAGAGGAGTGCAGGAACGGCCTGTTCACGAGGGGGCTGGCCCAGGGTCACACAGCCTGGCTTTCCAGTGGTGATGTGCAAGGTAAACGAGTCTCCGGCTGAGGGGTGACGGGCATCCCTGCCCCACAGCTCCACGTGCTCTTGGGCAGGGTCCAGCCTTGAGCCGTGGACCCGTCTCCCGCTCTGGAGGTCTGAGGGGAACGGAAGCGCTAGAGCAGTGGTGGCGAGCTGTTTAGAGCTCTCGGTGATACAACCTGCCACGCCCGTGCCGTAGGCTCGCGGTGGCACAGTTCAGCCGCTCTTGTTCTTGGTCATTGCACTCGTTTCTGTGGCCCTGATGCAGAAGCTCCCTTCTTTGTGGCTCACCTGCCTGAGAGCCCGAGTGGCTTCCTGAGGCCACGCAGCATGCAAGCTGCAGAGCCAGGAGCTTGGGTGTGAGGAGGGAGGCACCAGGCTAAGGACCAAGGTGTGAGAGCCTCCCTGCCCTGCTGCTCAGAGGCGTGGTACCCTCTGAATGGGCAGACAGGGTTGTTTCAGGACGTTCGGGGATCGTGGGGAAGCGGTATCCTGCCCTGCAGAGCCACGGGGGGACCCGGCTGGCCCATGGACAGCAGTGTATTCCCAGGCCACCTGCGGAGTGGGGGCTGTTGGCACTGCCTGGGGCGCTGACTGCCACTCTCTGTGAGGAGCAGGGGACTTCCAGACCCAGCTCCCTGGACAGGGCCGCAGGCAGAGCCCAGGCCTTGTCCCTCAAACCAAGGCAAGGGGGCCAAGAACGGTGCTGCCCTCTTACTGAGCAGGGCTAACAGGGCTGGCCTGGCAAGCAGAAGCGACACCCACCCTTTAAGGAAGAAGTGGTCTTGGTTATAGACAATACAGAGCACACCAGAAACCCTGAAAACGAACCGAGATGAATGCAGAAGAAAACACTTTTTGTAAGACAGCAAGATATAAAGTTAACAAATTCAAACACCAGCAGCAACAGCAGAGAGAGAGAGATGAACCTTTGACGAGAGCAGTGAAAAAGGGAAAACCTAACAGTGTTCAGAATTTACATGACAAAAACCTTCAAAACAGCCCTCAAAAATCTCAAACTACCAGGAATGGTGGTGCACACCTAGAATCCCAGTACTTGGGAGGCTGCGGCAGGAGCACTGCTGTGATTTGGAGGCCAGTCTGGGCTATCCAGTGAGACCCTATCTCAAAAACCCCCCAAAACCCCCAAAATTCTAATTTAGGCAAGACACCAAGTGAGCTGGAACAAATGATAAACGCCCCTTACTCTGGTAGCCGACAATTCAGTATCAGTATACACAGCAGCTTTTCCCAAGTGGAAATGCAGACTGAGAAGTGACTCTGAAGCTCTGTGGGGCTCCATGGGAGCCCCTGGCCTTACCCTCGGACACCTTCAGCTCAGTCCAGGGCGCCCTAACTCCGGGAGGTGCTGCCGTGGCGACAGGTGGTCCTCTGGGGAGGGGAGCAGAGTCCATGCCCTCTGGGGAGATGAGGGATACAGCAAGGAGGGGTTAGGGCTGAGATCTCCGGCCCAACTGGATGTTGCTTGACAAAAGATAATGTGGATTCTGTGCTTTGTATTGTGCACCAGAATCCACGCTGAACAGAACAGTGGTCTCAGTGTTAGAAAAATGCAACCATAAACAATCACGGGTGTGTCTTTAACCCAGGGGCGGGGAGAGCCTGTGGCCCCAAATCTATAAGCAATAAAACGATATGTTGAGCTCTGCAAAGTCTCATGCATGTAATCTTACATGGAAAAACACTAGGAAAAGCAAAAAAGATGCAAGAGATTGCAGCATGCAGGGTCCCCTACAGGGCTGCTACTCTCCCTAACACAGAAGAAACACCAGTAACGTGACCAAGAATGCTGGCCTGCCTGCCGTGTGGACAGTGCCCTTCGTAAGATTTACATGAAAACCCCCAACTCAGGACAGAAAAGAGAAACATCCGATCACCATTCTACAACCTAAATGCCTAGCTTGTGAAAGGGAAGAGGAAATTACAAACCAGAAATAACTTAACTAGATACAAATGAATAAAGAAACAAGCGGGGGAACTGCAAGTCGAAAGTACTGAATCCCGTCTCACCCCAGCCAGAATGGCGACGAAGAACAGCACACAACAGTGCTGGCAAGGACGCAGGGGAGAAGCCGCCTTTCTACACTGCTGGTGGGAAAGCCAGTGTGGAGGTTCTTCAGAAAGCTCAAGCCAGAGCCGCCCCTGACCCGCCATCCCTCCCCAGCATATTCCCGAAGTAGGCAGCGTGCCCACCGACAGACGGGTGAAGACCGTGTGTACACAGCGTGGTTCACTGGGCAACAAGGAAGAGGAGCGAACGACCCTGGCGGTCATCATTGTAACGAGTGTCACAGGTCTCCCTAGTGTTGGGTCTAAGAGATGACAGTAGGACTTACTAGATGAGGGGAGAGGACTGGGGAGGGGGGACTGTAAGGTGGGTGATGGAAATGTGCACAACCAACCCCCAGGAATACTAGACTTGGGGTGGGGAAGGTGGGCAAGGGGGTGACTGAAGCGTTACGTGCGTGTACGGGTCTGCCAGAGTGAAAGCCACTCATCCTGGGGGAAAAAAGCAAACTGATTTCTTAAAAATGGGTGAAGATTCAAATACAGGCTTCCCGGAGGAGGAAATACACAGGCCTGTAAGAACCAGGAACAGTCCTTAGGGCAGTGCAGAGCAAAGCCACCTGACCACCTTCTCCTGAGGAGCATGGCTACAGCCAAGGGACTGGCGGATCAGAGGACACCAGTGTAGTGTAAACCGTCCCAGGAATGCTCCCGGGCTTTGTTCCCAGCAGGCACAAACTGGAACTCACTCCCGCATCCATCCGCAGGAAACAGGAAGTAGCAGGAACAGCCACACAATAGGCTCACAGCTGGATCCCTCCCAGGCCCTTGGTACCCGCTTGGCTCCCAGGGCGGCACTACTGGGAGGTGGCAGGGCTTAGGAGCAGAGCCCAGGGGGCCCTGGCCGTGCCAGGACCTGGGGCCCTGCGACCCTGCGACCCTGCGACCCTGTCCCTTCCGCTTCCTGCCTCCCTGCCCCGAGGTGAGTGCTGGGGTGACACTGCCAACACCCCTTCTCCACACATGGTCATGTCAGGTTTGTGACGTGACTGACACCAAGGGACATCACCCAGCCACAAAGGGTCCCGTGAGTGAGGTGCACAGCATCATCAGGAGAAGCACCACCCAGCAGAGGAGGCTGGGCCACAGACCGGAGCCACGGCCGGGATTGCTCAGCACACACAGGGTCTCAGGACGTCACGGTGCGTGTTGCACAGTCTCACTGGTACCCTGACGGGAAAGTAGTTACAGTGACAGGCCGCCATTTCCCACAATCCAACAAATGGTGCCCTTCAGACGGGTGTACATGTGGTGTATAAACTGAGCCGATATTTCCCCCCCAGAAGCTTCACTGAGATATCATACAGTTAGATGAGCGAAAACCCCACAGCCTATCCACAACCCCTGTGTGAGGGTGTGGGGGGCCAGGCCCCTGTGCTCATCCAGGGGGGTCTTCCCAGCAGTGACTTGGGCCTGACCTGTGACCCCGTCACACCCGAGCCCACCACTACCACACAGAGAGGCTGGGACAAGGGACAATGTCTCCCACTCACCGTGAAGCTGAATGGGTGGTGGAAGAGCCCAGGGCTTAGTGAAAAAAAAAAAACAAAACAAACCTTTGCGTATTGCGTATGAAAGAGAAAACATTTAACTGCAAAAATAAACACATAAGAAATAAGTCAGAAGCTAATTTAAATGCCTACATTTACGGGGGCGGGTGAGGCTGTCTGAACAAACACTTAATACAGAATTAAGTGTGTCATACCATGCTTAGAAAGTCAGAAAGGAACCTAACCAAAGCACAGGCCACAAAACAAGGATAAAGAAAGTGGGCTTCTCAAAATTAGAAACTCGTGCGCTTCAAAGAACAGTATAAGAAAGTGAAAACAGCCCAACATAGTGGCACGTATGCCTGTTACCTCAGCTATTTGGGAGGTTGAAGAAGAAAGATAAAAAATTTCAGGCCAGTCTGGGCAACTTGGCGAGACCTTGTTAAAAAAATAAAAAGAGCTAGGAATACAACACAGTGGGAGAGCACTTTCCTAAAAGGTAAGGTGCAGGGCCCAGGATGTAGCTTGGTGGCACCGTGCCTGCCTTGCAAGCGCAAGGTCCTGAGTTCGATCCCTGTATCAAAGTAAGTAAATAAATGAAATGCAAGGCCCTGGGTTGATTCCCCAGTACCAGCAAGACAGAAGTGGAGGGACAGTGTGATGAAAAGACAACCCAGAAGGAGAGAAAGTATTTGTAAATCATGTATCTGATAAGGAACTTGGACTGTATAAAGATCTTCCACAACTCACAATCCAATTAAAAACGAGCAGGGAGCTGAACTGAAGCATCTCCAATAAAGACAGACTGCTAGGAAGAACATGAACATGGGACTGGGGGACGCGAGCCAGAACCACAGGGAGACACCGCTCACGCCCATGGGGTGGCTATGACGAAAAGCCACATAAAAACAAGTTACGAGGATGTGGGCACCAGACCTAGCGTGTTGCTGTTTTGAAGGTAAAAACTGCCTGGCCCCTTTGGAAACAGCCTGGCAGTTCATTAAGATAAACGGAGTCACAGCAGGGCACACAGACATTCCAGCCCAGGTCACGGCCAACGGAGAGGAAAATGTGTAACCACGGAAACCCCGTCCATGCAGGATGTCGCACTTGGTGTGGGGAGCACCCACGTCCCCCAGCTGACAGGGCAAGGTGTGGCCATGCATGCTGTGCTGTCACCCACCAGCCCTCTGAGGCCCCAGCACCGCAGT